GAAATTTTGAAAATTCGATAATAAATATTGAGGGAGAACAGTTGTCCCGCGCTAAACAGATTTTGCTATGTTATACGTTTGTAAGACGGAGACAACACATGTGGGTGTGGCGTCCTCTTAACTAATAACTATAAATTATGTATAGCAATATAAACAAAAAAATATTATAGATTATTAATAATAATGTAATTTTACCTTCCTTCAAAACGGCGTTTCAAAAAGTTGAATATTACTTTTTGCATCATATCAGTCACTTCATATCCCTTCAAAGATGGCCCAACTATTACAATTGGCCTCATCGAAGGAACCACATCATAAGGGGGTGGTGAAATTTTTTGTTTCTTAAAAAATATATTTCGCTTATATTTTACTGCTGGAACAGTTAGAGCAGATATATGCCCACCTCCTGAAGTAGAACTACCATCTTAGTTATTTAACAAAAACATAAAATAATCAATAATTAAGGAATTATTTTAAATATGTTTAATAAACTTAACTAGAAATAATGCTTTAAATACCTTACTATACAAATGATACATGAAAAAATCTAGAAGATGTAAATGTAAAATGTGTTTTATTGAATTTCAAGAGAAATGCATTTTAAGCATAAATGAACAAATATATAATAGAACAAAAATTTGATAAGGATGCCATCATTGAGAACGCATCTTTTAACTTGAGAGATTTGTATCACTATACAAGTTGTATGAAATTAAATATATAAATTTAAAATTAATATGTTGTCCAATGGTTTAGTCAGGATTTCTAAAAAGAGGAGGGGCAATTAAAAAAAAACTTTATAGAATTTAAGTAATTTTATCACCAATTGCCAAAATTCACCTACATCTACTGGCTAATAGGAAGTAGTACACAATAGTCCAACCATGGTCTGGTCAAAAATATATATCTGTCACTCCTCGTGTTTAATACAGCATAATATACTAATATCAAATGACCATAGGTATATACTGTTCAAATGTCAATAAATAAAATAAAACAATGAGGCATGAAGGGGGACCACATTTGACCCACTTGGCATGGCGTTGTCTACTCTTTTATATAAATAATTAATACTTAATTATTCACAGCACCTACAAATTTTTTTCAATTTGTAGCAATTTAAATTTAATGTGCATCAACTGCATCTCACAACATTTTTGACAAGGTGTAAAATCAAACCAAAATTAAATAAATAGAAAGTAAGAAACACATAAAAACGAAAAATTAGTTGATGCAAATTATAATAAATTTTACAGGTACTACCTAATGTACTTATGACACTAGTATTAAGTGTATTCAAAATAACCTCAAAATTAGTAGATGCAAACAAAATTAGCAAAGTTTAAAAACTCTTTAATGCTAAWAATACAACATTAAATTTTTAAATATGGTAGTGGTTGAAGAATTACCCAAGTTTGAAGATATTGAATTTTTGGTTGAACTTGCTGATTGGTTAACCATACGCATCATTTCGAGTTTGGTAGGGGATGGTATATAGCAYAGATCAGATCCCTCCTTCACAAGACGACCAATCCACCAGTTATTATCATACTTTTCCTAAAACGATTAAAAAAATTATCTTTATAAATTATCATACAAACTCTGAAATACCTGGCTAACTACTTAGATGTTTTTTACTACTTAAATTATAAAAAGCATTAGATATAGTATTAAAGAATGAAACAATAAAATGTAAATTTACATATTTTATGATAATAATAGTTGAATCGTTCTAAGTCCTAAAAAAAAGAATAGCAACAGGAGTAAAATTTACACAAATATGAAATAAGTCTACTGTACAGAGCATTCAAATTTCTTGGTTTTGAAAAAATAACTATGATGACTTTTTTAAGCAATGTTGGGTACATAACTATAAAAAAGTAATTAAATCACTTTACTTAATCACCAAAAAAAAAAATTTAATACAATCACTTAATACTTTTGCAATAAGAAAAGTAGTAGAAAATAACTTAGTACTTTCAGATTACAAAATAAAATAAAAGGTAGGTAATTATACAGGATCCTGTAAATAAATAAATAAATCGATTTATATATATTTTTTGTTATCTTGTGATTGACAACAATTGACCACYAAAATAAGCAGAAAAAATATTTTTAGGTAACTATATAGTTTGATCATAATTTATAAAAAGAAAAAGCTGAATTGTGAGGAGTGAAAAATTAAAACACCTAATACAATATACCTACTAATGGTAATTGTGGTATTGTTTTTTTTATGATTACTAAACAAATATTTATTTTTTTAATTTATAATACTTTGAGCAAAGGTAAAGTGTTATATAATTTCATAACATTTTTTATGCTAAAAAATAATTGTATTTAAGTTACCTAATGAATTACAGTAATGCGTTACTCCAGTTAGGTACATTATTACCCAATATGGTTTTTGGATAGTCTGTTCATGATGTCTGTCATAGGCGTGCGCAGAGTTTCAAGTCGAGAGCAGCTATTATTTTTACCGGCCCATACATGGGATATTAAGTTAACATTTTTAAGCTCAAAATAAAAATTTAACCTTTGACCTTTAAATAAAAATATTTTAAATGATAATCATTCGTTAGTCATAGATTGTTTTTGCTCAACACCGGTATACCATATCAAAATTAAAAATTCATCAAATATCAATAACACTTTATTCCATTATTCTTTATTATTATAATTAGGTTATAWTATTATGTTATGTTATTATTATATAGTTCAGCCCATACAAATATATTCAAACCCTCCAGAGGCAGCAAGAGTTCGCCTTGCTGCCCCTGTGCGCACGCCTATAATGATGTCTGTACACACTTGTATAGGTAGTATAAGAAGGTACCGCTCTACAAATTTAATAGATCTATTTTAAAGTTATTTTTAAAATGTCCTTATATGTTCTTTTTTTTTTAATAGAAAAAATACCAACAAAAGAAAAGATGAAATTTAAAGCATCCGTTTTTAGCTATAATGATTTTGTCCGTTTAGTTAAAACTCAACAAATAATAGTTCTTTTCTTTCAGTTTTAAAATTAAAAGAGACATTATTGATTAATATTTAATTTTTAAATTTTGTCTTAAAAATGTAAAAAATATTATCATTCATTCAATATATCACTTAATTCAGTAGATACCTACATTTTTTTAGACAACACTGAATATATTTAATCAATGAAAAATCAATTAACAGATAAATTGTTATTAATGATATGTACTTACCTCATGCTAAGCATCCAATTATCTTGCATCAAGTGTTAAGTACTTATATATATTTATATATATATAAATAAACTAAACTATAGTACTATAAAAATAATGTGCTTTACCTATGAGCTAACTATCTAAATTCAGACTAACAAATCTATCAAGGTTCATCAATTCCTAGTCAGTCTTTTAAAATTCAAGAATAAAAGTGTGATGAATGTAAATGTTATAATACTGAAATTATTAATTCTAAACTACTTAATAAAAATATTCAAAAATCACCTTATCAAAACAATATTTTTCTTCAAAATTGTTTAAGTAAATTCAAACTTTAATTCATAAGGACCATAAGGTTACACTTTTGTGCAATAAAACACGCTGTTGTTCTGTTGTTTCTCTTGAGACAAAAATATTTCAAATAAGTATTAAAATTCATACTAATAAATTTTAATTAATACTTAATAGTTTGGTAACTATATATGACTAGAAGAGTAAGGGGAAACATTTATAGATGGAAGTATTACACAACAGAGATAATGATATTTCAAACATTGGGTAATTTATCCGATTAAAAAAATCATATGTGTTAAACACAACTTCAGTACCTAATACTAGTTATGTTATATTTATTATGAAGATAAACTTAATGTTTTGTTTAATCTCTGTGTGTATAAGCAGATCGGATTAAACATTTAAATGTCATCGGTCCATAGGAAAAATTAATTATTAAATCAACAAAAACTAATAAAATTATTAATAACATTTAATAGTAACTATATTTAGAAATGTATAATAAATAAAGGTTTATGAAACATTGAAGAATATAAATTATAAACATTTTCCATTTTTAAAAACTATTATCTTATTATAGGTACCTGGGTAATAATAATAAGCTGTTTAAGTTGTTGATATTTACCTCCTAAGAATAATGAATAAAAAAAACAGTAAATAGGTTGACAAAGTTGAAAATATTATTCATTTTAATAAAAAATAATATATAATAGGTACCTATAATGTAATGTTTTAAACTTTAAAACAATACTGTTGTCTATTTAAAACTTTATTTAAAAGAATTCAATAAGTACCAGATATAGTAATTATTTAGCATTTCAATATAACTTACCAATTACACTATTACAGATAATTACTTCAATTTTAAAAGTCAATTTAACACTAAATTACTCTATCCTACATAGGTCCATAAATCAATTACACGGTACAGTGTACAATATATTTGTTTTATCATCGAATTTAATTAATCCTAATATTGTATTATATAGGTATTAGGGTACCTGTTCTTAGCAACATAATAATTTATATGTACCTTGATATGTATAAATTCTTGAGTCTTAAATGAGATTGCATGCCCTTGTAATGGACAGTCGTCATCCAAATTTCCATCATATGCGACATTTGTTCTTAGAGAAAATGCCACTGGTTTTGTCTACAATAAAAACGAAAAAAAATGTTTAACAAGACTTTAGTATTGAAAATTATGCACTATGTTGAAACAAATTTCTGACCAAGTGTAGACAAAATCAAATATTATATTTTTGTAATTTTATTGAAAACGAATAACCAGCATTGCGTTCATAGGGACGCGTTGCTTCGTCGACCAAAACCGTTTAAATCGTGTGTATATAGAATTATTAGAATTGCCTTCGTGACAATATTGCCGTACCGTCGGGCTGGTGCGTTGCAATCGCAACAGTGGATTCTGGTCTCCACTGTCAACAGAATTTAAGCCACCGGACATTCTTGGTAGGTAATTGAAATGGTCCAGTTTCGATGGTGATGCACTATGCCACTAAGGTTCACAGAGTATTGATCGATTGAAATATTATGTATAATATACCAACCTCGGGAAAATACACCCTTCGTTTTCACCAGTGCAAAATTCAATTGAAACGTTTCGGTGAATCATTGGGTGTTCATTTATTCAACCTGTGGCGGTTGATGCCTGTCAATAATATTACAACAGTGTTGTCACTTGTATATTCCCTGATAAATTTGTTATCACATCAACAGCGTTCATTGTGATAAAGGCACGATGACGCCATAACGTTCCACTGATTAAGGTTCAAGCAGACGTCGGACTGGGAATCCCAGTTTGTGATATAATAATATATTTTAATATATCTTTATCTTGGTCTGTAGTATTCATTAATCAGAATTTAGGATAATATTATTATTAAATTATTTAAGTATCTATGCTACAACGTACAATGTAATAAGTAATAACGTATAGYTGTAGAAGGTTAACGGGCTTGGGTTTGGGTTTTTTTTCTAACTACCGAGTTTAGTGCTAGACAAACTAGAACTCAGGGCTCATATTTTAAGTCGCCACTTCTCAGTCATATGAAAATGTATTTGTATTAATATGCATCATCTTAATTATAGGATACATATTGATGTTTCATTTACACTCTTTAATTATTTTAAGTCTTGTCTCTTCGTCATGTGCCTTAACATAATATTTCGATCTCGTATTATTTATTCGCACTCTTGAAATATGCTTTCTAGGTGACGTCTGTGTTGCCTAGCATAAGAGAATAAGGTCATGTAGGCCCATATTAATAATTTTGTAGAACAATATTTTTGTTCTATGATAATAATATTATGAGAATCTGTTATCAGTTATCACTAAAGTATTATCTCAACATGGTAAAAACCACGGACCACAGATATAAAGTATTCACTAGATAGCGAATTCTGATAAGAGTATAACGCCATTGGCTGCCATCTTTACTTAGGTCACCGAACGCTGGTGGCATATGGGGCTATATTATGTTAATTTGTCGAATTATAATGAAATAATGTAGGATTTTAAAATATTTTATCTATMTAAAAATGGAGGACAATGGTCAGTTATCACGTTGAAATAAAATCGGTGATAACACGAGTTCGCCATCTAGTTTACATTTTATATCTGAGCCACGGAAGCCAGGGACTAAGAAATAATCGATTTAATGGACTGCAAATGATATGGTCGGCGGGGGTTGGGGAACTGTCACCAAAAGGTTCTTACACGGCGCACCGAATGTTTTCAGCGCTACCGGTGGTTTTATTTGGTATCAAATTTTGTATCACATCTAGTCCACGATATAATAAACCAGGTATGATGCACATTTTATGATACGCATACACCCCTCTTCCGCCACCGTTCACTATAACACTATAATTATGTGCTGGACTTTTACCGTTTTTCATTGGTTGTATATATTATTGTGATAAGCATATACTATATTTATATTATTGTGATAAGCACATTCTAATTTATTATATCAATGGTGTTGTTGTCGATCGTGAACTAAAAAGTGTTAAATTATTTCATAATTCATATTGTAAATCGTAGAAAATGTTAATGATAAAAACGAGATAATCGATTAACGCCCAAAGAGTTTGCAGTCACACACACACACATATATATATATATATATATATACCTATCACAATAATATGTGAACCAATGAAAAGTGGCGAAAAATTAGCGTCATATTTGCGCAACAAAAGTCTGATATACAACTATTGACATCATACCTATATAGTTTATTATAACCTACCATACTCCATGTTTTATACGCTTGAGGCTTGAGGTTGTAAACTCTCGATGCCGAWTGCGACGCTTCTCATTTATCTCATGTCCATACATTTGTGGCAATTTGTCAGCTGCTCGATTTCAGGCCATTATATTTTATTCCGGATTAAAAAYTTAAGACTATAGACCTTATTCTAACCGGAAAATGGTAGTTGTAAGAAAAATGATAAGAGTGGTTATCCGGCGGTTAAATATAATGGTTATACGACAACAAATGTGTTGCCAACCTTGTAAAATTAAAATGGATTTGGGTGGTACTAACAACTATATACCACTCGATACATTTTATGATTAACTATGAAAAGGTCACTATGATGTCTACATAGGAAATTTCCAGTAATAAAAACTTATTTTACTCCATGTTATACTATGACTTCTACATAGGGAATCTCCAGTAATAAAAATGAATTTTACTCTATATTTTACCTCCATGTTATATTGTATTTAATATGTACAAATATGCTATATTTATGAAGAATGAGAGACATATTATTGCTATCACTCATTAGTACTCGTTAACATTTTTTTTTCAATTTTTATAATCAACATTTAAAATTTTTAAGAATTGTTTTTTTTTCTTTTATAGATTCTTAATAACACAGCTAATTTGCTGATGATAATTTGGATGGTTAAGTTCCAAACAAATTCATTCTATGTCGAATCCATCTAGTAAAATCTAAAAATTCAATTTTAATAATTYTTTAACATTCAGAAATGCCACAATTGTTAAATGTATTAAAAAATGTATTATTTATTACATAATTTTATTTAATCTGAGGTATAGATTATAGACGTATAGTGCTAAAATGTCAAAACATTTTAAATATTATGTAAAGATTTTGTCATCAGTGATGTCTATATGAAGGCTGTAATTATTATTGCGATGATTTTTTTTTCACGTTGGTATCACTGCTGGTTCACTGGTATAAATCGTGGTTAAACATTCTTATCATTTTTCTGACAACTACCCTGTACCCTATTCTAACAAGAATGATTAGATATTAAACTAGTTACAAAACTATATAGTTGAAAAATAATGGACCTACCGATAAGTCATGAGAAGGCATGTAGAACTAAACTTACTACTCCTGGTGGAAAAATTTCTAATAGTTTACGAAGTTAAATCTTTATATCATAGTTTTATCTATATTGTGATTATATCGAATATTTGATAACCATGGTTGAAGATAAACAAGATATAAAAACCGTCACTACGCGTTTCAATGGTTTGTTTTGTATACATATATGAATAAAMAAAAGCTTGTTTCCCCGACCGGAACCGAACCCGCAATTGTCGCCGGATCGATTCGTCCGAAGGGTCATCGGAACTTTTCACCTGGGCGTATTAGTCATGTTTTTTTATGCCCTCCTTAAAAAGTTTCACTTCAGCAGTGTACTTATTCAATCAATTGCTAGGTCCATATGGGACAAGAAAACAAAAAAAAAATACATACTTAACTTTTACCAACAACAATTGTTCCATCTGGGAAGAAACTAAATTGTTTTTAAAAACAAAAACCAAATTCTGTGTGGACCCAACCATACCATAGATCTATAATAAACGAAATGACAGTGCTTAGAAAACTAAATAGGTTAATACAAGATTGGCACTCTCCAAAATTATACATATTAACAATAAGTAGGTACAATAAAAATAATGTTGTATAAAATCAATAAATTTTGATGCATGGCTACACTGATTGCTCTTTAGCTCTATTCATGGCTTTTGGAGGTTTTTGGTGATCTCCGTAATCTGAGAGAATGTTGGTTACGTACTTATGTTTATCTTCTCTTTGTTGTGAAATTATAAAAACGGAATTGGAACGAACGTYGGCCGTTACCATTTATTAAAATTGTTTTGAGTATAGTATTATTAGTATTAGCATTGTATACAGTATTCGAATAATCTATTACAGTGGTTYCCAACCTTTTTAGCAGGCTGTGCCCTATTGTTTGTACACATTTTGTTAGGTGCCCTTCTGTAAATATCACGAGGAATGAAAATAAACACTAGTTTTCATTCATAACTGATTTAAATAATTTTATTGAACATATTATTAACAAATTTTTTATTAATAATATATAATTAAATATTTTTTTTTCATTCTCGGATGAGCCATGCATGGCGCCCCTTAAATGGTGTCGGCACCGATGCGGTCGGGACATTTGCAGTCGGCTCCTTTTTCGTGCCGTTTGCGGTCAGATTATTTCTATCTACCTGATTATCTAATCTAAGGTATATACATATATATTATATTATGTACTAAATAATTATATATATTAAATGGATTCTATACAGTATATAATATTATAATAATATATTTATTGTAAAAATATGTTTAAAATAGTATTATTATTGGATTTACCGATTTTTTGCTATTTGGTTGTTTATGGGTATTATTATAGATAAAGTGTTGGAATTTTGAAAGTATTAAATTAAAATTGTATTATGTCAGTTATATAGTTATATGCCATCGATAACATTTACTCAGTCTTTAGTATAGTATAGACATTTGTAGAGTTCGTAGTCGGAGTTTACACCATTAATAGATCAAGGAWTAGATTTAGTGACCGAAATTCCAGTTTACTCGTCTGTAAAAACGACATTAAATCGTATACGTAGGAAATCAATTTAGTATATAAAGTATATTATATATATACCTTAAATTTAGATAGAAATAAGCTGACCGCAAACGGCACGAAAAAGGTGCCGACCACAAATGTTCTGACCGCAAATGTCCCGGAACCCCTTAAATGAGCTCTCGGTGCCCTAAGAGCACCGCGGTGCACAGGTTGGGAACCGCTGATCTATTATATTGATATGAAATATTAAATTGATGGCRTAACCACACCGCTCCCACCAAAGACCGTATATAAGGCCCATAGAGTGGTATGATAAGGCCATAGTCAGCAGGTGTAAAATATACTAAATACCCAACGATACATGGTAAAGCGCTTCTACACTGACTTTCCATGTGCAAAATTGTACTAACACTCCCAGGGAATTAAATGTATACTATAAAAGTGATAGGCCCAACCCTAGGAGGTGCTCGAATATACATTTCGATATTTTCCATTGAAATTTTTGTTTATAGATGGTGGGTCGTTATAAATACAGTCGATTACAGCACCAAAGTGTTATCATTTTTATTTTACCA